ATAATCTTACAATAAGATTCAAGTAATGTCTACGAATGTCTCTAAACGTCTCTCAACGAAAATAGTGGAAGAAGTAGCACGATGAAGTCACACAAGGCATCACACAAAGGAAGCGAGAAGGAAAGAACGAAAGAAGGAGAGAAGACGGGAAGTCTCGGTGAATATTCAGTGAGCTGCACAAGGAAGCGGATGATGCGGGGGTGGCTTAAAGAGAGATGACATTAAATGGGAACATTAGTAGGAATGTCAAACGAGGCAATGGCATTCTCTTGCTCGCCCATAATTTTCATAATATCCGCTTCAGATCTTATGAATTTATTTGTAATTTGTTTACGCTTATTTCATTACATATTAATGTCGTCATTTATATCCCCTACTGGCGTAAGAAACATTTTTGTATAAATTTTCAAATATCATCATCGCTAATATTTTATCGTCGCTCGAAATAAGAAGCGTAGAATTTACTTAATTTAAAAATGGTATGTACACGAAATTAATTTGTGAACAAATTCTATAAGAAATAGCAATAATAAAAAGGATTACATTTAAAAATTGGTTTCAACCAACTCTGACAGTACCGCGTTTAATCGACGAGAATTATCATCGCATTATCCTACGCTCGAATGAATGGAGATCATATTTGACGGTCCGATATAATGATTTATGAGCGAGCGAGGAGGCGCGTTCGTCGACATTGATCCCGTTAACGACAACGGTCGCTTCTATCCTGCGGATTCCTGTAAATCGGCAGGAACCGTTAAAATAGCATCCGGTTGCGTTGGACACGGCCGTGCGAGATGAAACAGCGGGACGTTTCAATGGCGATCGCAAACGACGTATAAAATTATGGAGCGCCGGGATGGAATCCTGAATCTTCGTGGAATAATCGAGCGAACAAAATGGTTAGCTTGTAGGTGAAGCTACTTATTAGAGATCTATAATTTCAGCATGAATTTCAGATGCCGAGCCATAGACGACGAAGGAAATTGCAAGGAAGTGTACTGCTTTGCATTCTTAAAAGGGAAGAATTCTAATTAAAATCCACTGCTTTATTAATTTTCTTATCGATATTCAGCAGACATTTCGTAACGCCGAACAAGCAAAATAATTATAACGACGAAATCTCATAATGATGAAAGTACAAAGAGTAAAAAGATATGATAGAAAAACATTGCGTGTACAATGGACAAAAGATTTTAATTAACTAATTAATTAATTAATTAACTTACTTATAACCGACACATTTGTCTGCTGTTACAATCAAAGATTCTGCTATCTCATTATCTTCGCATAATTCAGGATGACCGTTTCCTATTCCTACTTCGTTCTACAATTTCGTTCTTTTTTTTCCGTCGGTGATGCACTCCACTGACTTTCTGGCCATTGATACTGCCGGCGTAGCCTCATAAATAATTAAATATTCCGCGCGGCAAGCCGCATAAATTACTCTTAGCGCGTTTAACGGATAATTAAGTCTCTCCGCACGAATAAATTACTTGTCGCGCTTGAATTCGAGTTATCGAGCATCGCCCGAAAATCTGAAAAATATATCGTCTACATTTATTCAATTAATTAACTAATAACGAAACAGACAAAAACGAATCCTCCAGAAAATTCTACAGCGAGAAAAAAAGTCGGGGAAATCTGGCAGCAAATTTTGCAACAATCATTTTCAGATATTGATAAACGGTGCAAATTAAATTTTTAGAGGCGGGCGTTAAAAGCGCGAGTTAACGGGCGGCAGTTAACGTAGCGCGGCCGCGAAATGCGCAACGGTTCCATACGCTCGTCCGAGAGAGGAAACGTTGAAACGTGCGCGAGTAATAAAACAGCGAGGCTGTGTGCCCGAGGTAAAACCAGCGAAAAGGAACCGTGAATGGCCGCAATGCATTAAACATTCTCGCCTCGTTTCCCGACGGCGTCGTTCACTTTGTCGACGAGTCGTACCACTGGCCCGCCCTCGCGCGCGCGCCCAACGTCTTATTGATATTCCCTCCGTAACGACGGTCAAAACTCTCGCAAATAGATTGAGATCCGATTACGCTAATGCACGCATTATCATTAATTTAACGACGTTACATGGCCGCTCCGTTCCGTCGTGATTATCGCTTCGCGCGAATCCGCACGCGATGTACGCTCGTGCCCGATTGTATATGTACTTATCTTCACAATGATCGTGAATTAAAAATTTCACGTTGCAATTAAAGCGACTTAATACGGTCGGTGCCCAGTCATGGACGCGCTCACCGACAACTAAATCCCTCCAGTCGCTGAAACTTCATTTCTCAACCAATTCCGAACTTAGAGAGAAAAGGATTTCTCTTGGATTTAAACGGGACGTCGGGGAAGATCTGTTTCAACGCTAATTTTATAGATTCTTTTGTGAAACCGCGACAGTGCGATTACATCACGATAGATCCTTCAGTTTTCCCGTTCGAGAGCGAACGGATCGTTATACGATTTCGCACCCTTCGAGGTTGCTTTACGATCGTCTCCCCGATTCGCCGCGCCGCGCCGGTGCTACCGTAATCGTAATGTTGCATTTTACGGGCGCTTTATCGCGCGCGCGTGACTTCGCGTCGATTCGCCGTGATTTAAGGGTAGCTCTCTCGCGAGAGAATATTGCCGGTGAATCCCAATACCGACCGTCTAGACTCGGTACTGCTCACCCAGGATGCATGAGTTTGCAATATCGGTTTAACGATATGGCAAGGTGGAGCGGAAGAATGTCCTCCGAGCTTCCGAAAGCGCCGTCGGCGATGGAGACCATAAAGAACGGCGACGATACGAGCGGCTCGTATTATTTGAAATCTGTACGACACATCTGTTCAGCTCATTACGGTTGATCGAACTTTTATTTTTATTCAATATATAAAATAAAATTTCCCTGAGAGATACATACACATGAAATATTTGGATTAAATTGAACGTGAATATTCTTTTTGCAGACAGAAGGGGCCTCTCAATGTTACGAGTAACAAGATGACGTGGTATACGTCATCGCCTTATCTGAGAAATGCCAGAAGAGCAAAACCAGTCGCGAAAATAGGAAAGACATCGTAGTTTCGCAGCGCGGATTGAAGCGACGCCTGTTTGGCGTGCTATTTTAATGCGGGAGATGATCGATTAAGTATTCCACGTGCGGCAAGGCGCGTGGCCGTAATTGAATGCACGTCTCGGGATTTTTCACGCATCGCGAAACCCGAGCATCACGCCCTGAAAATACCGTAACGAGAATTCCGATGTTTTAAAGGTGGAGTTTGTTTCAGCGTGCTTTACGATCTACCGATCGCAGCGTCAGTAGTTCTCAAATTGAGAGGCAGGAATATTTCTTGAGGAAACGAGAACGCAAACTTCTGAAATCTTTAAATGTAAAACTCCAATTTTTATCTATCTGTATTCAAAGGCATTTTTCAACAAATACATTTTGTGTTTGTAACTCTTTGGTACAGAATAACTTTTTGTTTTATAGATTTTTGGAATTTAATTTTAATTAATAAATTTCATTCGGTAAAACAGATATAGGCAATAATATTTTGGATACATAAATCAAAACTTGTAATGTTTAAACTTCCAAATATTTAAAGCGAAAACAGCCGACGAGCTTGAGCATCTCTGCCGTACGATGTGTGAAATATTAAGGCGGTACGCGTGTCTCGCTAAGGGGTCCACGATTCCCAGATGAATCATTAGCCGGGGAGGAAAAAATAATGTAATCCCACTGCGATAAATCCGCCGCATTATATGTAACTTTCGATCTTAGCATCGCGCAACAATAATTTATCATCGTATCGATTGTCCGCCCCCGGGTTCTGCGTCGAGCGAGTCGAGAGCTTGCAGGCAGCAGCAACGACACAGAGATGAAGGAAGACCGCTGTAGCTACGCACGCACGCTCTTTCGAGCATCTTCCGGCGCGAGCCAGCCTGCCTGTTCCTTCGCATATAATATAATCGTGTTTCGCGCAGTTATACGCGTACGTGCGTGGGCGGGGGTAAGGTATATATAAGAACAGAGAAACTGAGAGGGAGAAAGAGAGAGAATCATGACTGCAACAGCCTGTATTATAATAAGGGGGCAACATTCATAGAATCCCTATGAGAGGCGCATAAAGCAGAGAATATTCACAAATGTCTAAAATAAAAATCAAATAAAATATGTATATGTTTCGTTTAATATCACGATATGTATTACGTATAAATAAAGGATGTTACAGCAAAAAAATTCAGTTCGTGTAAACTCAAACTATTTTCCAAATGAGTAAACGAGTGTGAGTGTTGTTATCGGAACTAGAAATATCTCAAAGGAACGTATTCGATTGTACGGACGATCAAAGTCGACCGTAAATTAATTTCATATCGCTCGAGAAAGCAATCAATCGACCAAGAGGCGGCAAAGTCGTACCGGTGGCGGCCGCCTAAATCGGAAACAAATGGCCGAGATAAATTTTTGCGACAGGGAGATATGTATCGCGTCTCGTTAGCCGTCTCGCCGATCGATCTTTGTCACGCGATTAATGTCTCCACGAAGTGAAATTCGCGTAGGGGCCCGCGCAGGAGAGAGCCGCGCAGGAAGCGTCTAAAAAATTCACGCACCACGGGAGACGGCCGCTTCCTGCCTTTGCGAAGTCGAGGAGGAACGAACGATGAAACTAGAACGCGCGCGAAAGTATCCAGGACGACGAGATCGCGAAAGGAGCTGCCGAGATCGATTACGAGGGAACGTCAATAGGCTTCCATCATTTCTACTTGATGGGGCGAGGAAAATCGAGCGTGGAGAGAAAAAAGCGGCGGAAAATCAGGGAGAAGTCATCAGACGGGGCTCCGAACAGCTCGAGTGGTCGACACACGTCGTTCAAAGCTTTTCGCTTCCCACGCACACGGGGACGCATCTCGAGTCTGGTGGCACGTGTGGAGATCGCCGACGGATCGAGTGACTTTTCCGGGTGGAAAGCGGAGGTCAATAAACCCGAGCGCGCGAGCGAGTGTTACGCAATTCTTACCTTCGAGATTCGCCATGGAGAACCTGTAGCTGTCGATCCTCGGCGTGTTTATGTCCGAGTTAAAGGGCCTGAGAGTCGCCGAGCTCACATTGTCAAGACCCTGCAACACAAAAGATAGCAAACACGTCAGCTTTACTCCCATTGCAATCGAGGAATGTGTGTTGCTGTAGCGTATTAAGCAACCAGGGCAATGACCTACTGCAACCATCTGTCCTCCTAAAGGGATTCGTTGATAGAGAAGATTAAAAGTCTCATTTCTATTCGGTCTAATAGATTTAATCTGTAGGACTACAGAAATAATGAACAATAATTTAACATTAAAACAATATTACAACAATTATACACTTATTGTATACAGTAATTTTTATCAATTTTAATAAATTATAAATACGTAAGAAACTTTTATAAAAATGCCTATCTCCTCTAGTCCTCTTTTCTTACGATCAACGTAATTTCTTTTAATGTACAAATTTCTTGAGTGGCTTAAATGAAATAGACACGTGAATATATTCTTGAATGTCTGAATTACCAGCCACGAAAAATGTGGTGTCATGTACCGCGTAGCGGAAAAAGGTGGTATTCAAATCGAATCCGCGCCAAGAAGTAATCGCTAGAAGTAACTTTTTTGCATTTCTTCGATCTTTTCGTCTTAGGAATCCAACTCAATCCGTTCGAAATCCTTTTACGTTTTCAATTCCCGACTGGGGATAAAATTCATACAATCGGAAGCATTAACGCAGCTGCACTCAAAAAGAGATTTCGCGACACGTGCGATTTTTCCCATTATACACATCTTCCTGGCAATGCTTACATATTTATTAATATTTTATTAATATATTTATTAATAGTATCTAATAAAAATACTTTGCCTGCAGTTAAAAATAATCAAAGAACAGCGCTTGTTTTCAAAATAATTGTTACGGAAAATGTCCCACTTTAGATCTTACTATCTTCTTATACTTTTATTAGGAGTACCATGACTCTTATTAGAGGCAGAAATTTTATTTTTAACAGCGACTTCCGGAAGATAAAAATAAGTAGCCTTTGTGTTATCGTTAAGTCGGCGATACGAAGTTGATTAGCATGGCCTCTGCCTTTCAATATTTTACGCGATAAAATCGTGCCAGCGACGAGCGGAGAAGAACGTTTGCTTCTCGGCTTCTGAGGATAGCGCCAACGGATAACGTGCCTTCTATAATCGCGCGCGCGCGCGTGCTTTTATATGGGCAACCGAACTGGCATGCATCGATAACCCTAGAAGAGGTACGGGTTATGGTGAACGACCTGGTGGTCACTACTGGGTCACTGAAGTTTAATGCGCGAACTAGGTAGCTCGATACAATGTAAATAGACCGCACGACCACCTTGATGTCAAAAGGAAACTGGCGCGTCGTAAATTGTCTAGAAGGATTTATAAACAGCGGCGATAGAAGCGTGAATGCACAAGTACGCATTGTTCTCTGAGCCTGATTGTGAAATTATAGTTAGCAGTATGAGAGTTTGTTATAGGTATAGATGTCCCTGAAGCTTCGTATGTGTGTGTGTGTTTGTTAATCATCATATATTTCTGAATATATAGAATATATATGTTTCAATGCGCAACCACAGACGTTTTCACGATATTATATTATTACAAATTACGCAATACCATACGATAAGCAATACCTCAACTGCAGTTTGCAACTACATTGTATTCGACATAATTTATCCAAAATATCCAAAGAGATGTATTGAGAGAGAGAAAGAAAGAAAGAGAGAGAGAGAGATCCTCTGGGAAAATTTTCCAAATTATTAATCACGATTATGTGTTATATATTCCGACATGTTCGAATTAATATAAATTTCATAAAGCTTTCTTTATGAAAATAATAATTATTATAAAATATTGCAATTATAATTAAAAACGTTTGTACAAACTTTTTAATGTTCTTAAACGCTACCTCCGGTAATTTTGTTCGAACTTCCAAATTTTTAATTGCATTCATGCACAGCCCGTATTCGCTGGATGCTTCCTATCTGATATTCGTACTGTATCGTCGATGAGCTCGGTGTGGGTGTGGTGAACGACCCGTTAACCATCATTCGGCCAACCGACGCAACAATTAGATCCGCACGGATAATGCCGGCTCTTCCTGTAACGCGAAACCCCGCGGACATTACGCCCGTGTCTCGTTTCATGCGTATTCACGTATTCCGTACTATCAGCATACTTGCATTAAACCCCGAGCTCGATGTGAAAGCTATTCGGTAGTTTTTAGCTGTAACATTTTATCTCGATCTTATCTTAACGCTCATTGACTTTTATTCCAATCTTCTTCCTCCATAGATAAAATTGTGTAAATGTAAATGTATTATAAATAGCAATAAATTGGAATTTCATAATACAAAATGTTTTGTAAAATACATAGTATGCGTAAATATTATAATTGTAAATAAGAAAAGATTAATAACATTTGTAATTAAAAAATTTCGCTAAACGACAGAAAGTTGCACGGTGAATGCGAAAAAGAATCGCATGGAAGATTAAAACATCTTTCAATTTGCTTTAAATATTTTCTAAGTACCGATTCTTCAGTTTATCGCAGTATTATCCAGCAGGAATAGGTGAGAACGAGGCGTCGTTTAAGATCGTGAAACTTCAGCCAGGCTCCTTCGGGAGCTTTTATTGCCGCACGCGAGCGGTTTACATAGCCAAATGTAAAATCCATGAGGCGTGCGTCGTTCGTATGTTTCCCGTGGTGCGTACTCACATCGTCCTGCGCCTTGTGGCTCTTCCATCGAAATAGCCTGTCCATTTGGCAGGTAACGGAAGCGCGATTATTCCCTCAAACTTCGCAGAAGATCACTTGGCTTAGGCTCCCATCTCGCGCGGCTTTATCGAAGCCCGGACATCGCACGTGGCTTCATTGACACTCGACATTATATTTCGATTCTGGACGGATCGAGACGCCGAATTAACGGTCCGTCACATGCAGTGTTACCCTCTTTCAATACTTTAAGAAATCAGCAGGATATTTCCAGGGGCAACAAGATAACGGCGCTATGGTAAACTGTCTAAACTGCCAAGAAAGACACCGCACTGTTTGCGATCTTTCTTAAAAAAAACTGATTCAAGTATTTAATTTTTTTTTTAATTTTTAAAAATATAATTATTTATATTTTTGAATGTTTTAATAGCATTATGTTTCTCACTACGATTTTGTAGGGTTCTCGTGGATTTTTTTGTAACAGACTCTTCCACTGTTGCGAAAATATTTAGATATTTGAATCAAATTGTAAGAAATATTTTTTCTCTGTTTTTTTTTCTTATAGTGTTAGAATATTTTCTTACAGTCAAAAGCAATCGGAATTGATTAATGAGAGTTCAGTAAAAAAAAAATCGTCTTCAAACTGCAATTTAAGCTATACTGTCTACAGCCACTATTATTGCTATAGTCGGTGCTGCAGGATTAATTAGATCGAAACAGGCTGAGGGGAAACGGACGGCTGGAAACGCGCGGACGGACGCGATATCGCGGCTGTCGTTGTGATACGAGCACTGGATGCTGATCCGCGAGGGATTCAACGTGGAGGCCGGTCGGTCCATGTCCCACTCGCCCTCTCGATTCCCTCCTCCGCATAGAGGACGGCGCCGAGGACCTCTCCGCCTCTCTTTCTTTCTCTCTCTCTCTCTTCCTCGATTCCTGGCACGAGAAGCGCCTGCGCGCCTATCGATTCCGTCGGTTCCCGCAGGAACACACCGGACGCAACGCCTTGCTTCCTGCGTATCGCGCTAGTCAGGACATTAGAGTGCTGTCCTTGGCGATTCTTTTCATAGGAATTGTCTTCGAAGGTAGAGGAATTTTTTCTCAATCGAATCGAGGAGAGCTTTTCAAAACTCCGAAATTATGCGAAAATTTTACGGAAACATTTCTGAAAGATGCGAAACTTCAGATGAGAGTAAAGCTACTTCCGGTTTAAGTGTTAGAAAATAAAATGTGAAATAATCTGATTCTAAAATAATTTTCGAAATTCAGATAAAAGTCTCCGAATTTCTTACACTATTAGTATAAAAACAATGTTGTTATTAATTACAGACATCGACAATTTCTAAATATATGTACACACGTTCAAGTGGTTTATAAATCGTATTATTTTTATAAAAATTATGAATTTAATCTCATGAATATTATAATGTTCATTCATGAATATTAATAGATTAAATATGTAGTCAGTTTCAAAAGAGAGACTTTTCTATAGTTGCTAATTTATATTGTTTAAAACTCCATTAATATTAATTGCCATTTTAGAATTATGCGGTAATAAGCCAACTTTTTCACTGTTGAAAACAGCTGTAATTCTGTGCTTTATTAATAACAAAGACTTACTCATCGTAGGCGTGTATTTCATCGACTATTTTATTCTGGCGCGTCGATGAACAAGCCGATCGCCCTATTTGCAACCACGATTGCGTGCATTCGCACCCCCTGCAGCAATCACATTACAAGAAGGTGGGACTCCAAGTTAACCCCCGACGAGTCGGGATTGAGAGAAATGATGGTACATCGAGCGGGGCGATTCGACGATCACTCACAAATGCATCATTGCTAATCGATATGATTAATAATTTACACAATAATGTATCGTATACGTTATTAAAGTATAATTCTGCTGAAATTATTGACATGATGTATGTCGTTATAAATTTTACATAGCGCGATAAACTCTATTTTAATTAATTTTTTCTCGTGACAAAATAAACGTTCTTACTATCAATTGATTATTACCGATCGATAGATTACCAATCTTTTTATATAATTCGCATAGTTAATACATTTGAATCAATGCTCTCAATTTTGAGTTGAAAAACACTCTTGTCTTATTCTCTTTTGTTTTCTCGTATTAATAAAATAATTTAATTGCCTCTAACAATACACCAAGGTTTGATTTTAGAAGAATGACCGCGGTGTTCAAGTGCCGCATTGTCGAGGCCATCGGTGCGTGCAGACACCTACATGCATTCAATAAATGCGTTCAGGGAGGTGTACGGACCCTCTCGCGCTGTTCGCCAACGTTGTGAATCCAATGCTTCCATCCCAAAAAATATCGCTCGCCTCGCGA